TTAATAAAAATGTCTGTAATGTGGTCATATTTTTGAGCACGAGTGACAAGGCGTGCTGCTGCATTTTGTACACGAATAAGAGGTTTTATCTTAGTTACAGGGAGACCAGACAATAATGAATTACAGCTGTCTAAGCGAGAAGATAAGAATGCATGTACCAACTTTTCGGTATCAGATTGGGATAATGATTTACGAATACGATTAATATTTCTTAGATGGGAATATCCAGATCTACAAATAGTAGAAATGTGTGTTTCCATAGATAACTGCGAATCAAACAAGACACCTAAGTTTCTAGCACTTGACGAAGCACTAACCAATTCTTCACCAATTGCGATACTAGACAAAGGACACGAGTCTTGTGAGAATCTCCGAGACGACATGCACACAAATTCAGTTTTCGACACATTCAAAAGTAGGAAATTACAAGACATCCAATCGCTAACATCTTGAATACATGTCTGAAGTATCACCCGGGCTCCTGAAAACCAACCAATTGGTGATGTATGGGGTTTTTGTGAAATAATTTGTGTTCATGAGGTTCATGACATGTACAGATTTGGTCAAACAAAAAATAAGAATAAAAGAAAGTTTGAAAATAATGTATTTTTTTTTCTCTCAAAGTTCCTGCGAAAAATGATCAAGAATGCGATTTATGCAAATTACTTGTTCAATATCTGGATTCAACATTGGCAAAAAATGCTACACAACAGGAGATTGAGATGGCTTTGAAACAGATTTGTGCTGTTCTCCCTTCTGAACTGAAAGATCAGGTACGTGTTCTTATTGAATCTACCTCTGAACTGAAAGATCAGGTAAGAGTTCTTATTGAATCTACCTCTGAACTGAAAGATCAGGTAAGAGTTCTTATTGAATCTACCTCTGAACTGAAAGATCAGGTACGTGATCTTGTTGAATCTACCTCTGAACTGAAAGATCAGGTACGTGATCTTGTTGAATCTACCTCTGAACTGAAAGATCAGGTACGTGATCTTTTTTAATCTACCTCTGAACTGAAAGATCAGGGACGTGTTCTTTTTGAATCTACCTCTGAACTGAAAGATCAGGTAAGAGTTCTTATTGAATCTACCTCTGAACTGAAAGATCAGGTACGTGATCTTGTTGAATCTACCTCTGAGCTGAAAGATCAGGGACATGTTCTTTTTGAATCTACCTCTGAACTGAAAGATCAGGTAAGAGTTCTTATTGAATCTACCTCTGAACTGAAAGATCAGGGACGTGTTCTTTTTGAATCTACCTCTGAACTGAAAGATCAGGTAAGAGTTCTTTTTGAATCTACCTCTGAACTGAATCATCAGGGACGTGTTCTTATTGAATCTACCTCTGAACTGAAAGATCAGGGACGTGTTCTTGTTGAATCTACCTCTGAACTGAAAGATCAGGGACGTGTTCTTTTTTAATCTACCTCTGAACTGAAAGATCAGGTACGTGTTCTTGTTGAATCTGTCTCTGAACTGAAAGATCAGGGACGTGTTCTTTTTGAATCTACCTCTGAACTGAAAGATCAGGGACGTGTTCTTTTTGAATAAACCTCTGAACTGAATCATCAGGTACGTGTTCTTGTTGAATCTGTCTCTGAACTGAAAGATCAGGTACGTGTTCTTGTTGAATCTGTCTCTGAACTGAAAGATCAGGTACGTGTTCTTGTTGAATCTACCTCTGAACTGAAAGATCAGGGACGTGTTCTTGTTGAATCTACCTCTGAACTGAAAGATCAGGGACGTGTTCTTTTTGAATCTACCTCTGAACTGAAAGATCAGGGACGTGTTCTTGTTGAATCTACCTCTGAACTGAAAGATCAGGGACGTGTTCTTGTTGAATCTACCTCTGAACTGAATCATCAGGGACGTGTTCTTGTTGAATCTACATCAGGTACGTGATCTTGAAGCTATTCTGAGCTGGTGTTGACCTACAATTAGGTGGTCTATATTAAAACTTGTTAGAAAAATACCAGTATTTCCTTTTGACTTAAATTTTTCTTGTTTTTTGTAGTGTAATTCGTTGGTTGATCAGTATGGACCTATCCTGTTTCAGTTATTAGAACAACTGGCAACACCTGATGCAGTTTGTAAAGTAGGTATTTTCAGCTTGATAGGGTATGGTGGGGAAGTGGTGTGTACTTCATAGTTGATGGAAAGGTGGGAAATTGACATTTGATAGAAAGGTGGGAAGTCGACATTTGATAGGAGAGGGTGGGGAAGTTGATTGGTCATAGGGGAGGATCGGAGAAGTTGACAGTTGGTGGGAACGTTGGCAGTTGGTGGCGGGAGAGTGGACATCGGCACATACCTAGTACATACCTAAATGTATACCTTAATTGTTTTACTTGCTTTGTCAGTTATTTGGTGATAGAATCATGCATTGACAAATTGCATTGTTTATAATACTTTTAAAAGTTGGCTTGTGTCGATGACAATCATCGTCGCAAATCTATTGCCTCTTTGTGGCTCCTGATGGTCACCATGGAAAAATATGCCTACATTGTAGTATTAATAGTAGCTTGTAAAAGCACCAACCAATGTGCCTCTTAAATTTGTAGAAGATGATTTGTATTCCCAATGTAAAATAAAAGCTGATTGGTCATTCACGTTTATGATGTCAGTATATTTTGTCAGAGTATGTTTGCAGTGTAGCGGAAATTTGATTCAGAAAAGGAGATTCTACAGATCATTAAAAAAAAAACAATGATAGCTCAGTGTGCATTATTGACTGATATTTTGATATCAACATTATCACTTTTGAACTGCCAAGTGACATCATGCAGTGATTTGATGTGGAGGAGGCTGATAACTTAGAGCGCCCTCATTGTCGGTAATCAGCATATGTTAACCATCTTTGCATTTTGTTTCTAGTTCATCGGACTGTGTCAGAGTTCTACCAAGAATGTAGGTCTGAATAAATGCACCTATGGTCCATCATATTGGTGTGCAAATGAAAGTAACGCCATGATGTGCAATGTAAGTAAAACAAATATTATTTACACTGACATGCAATTTCTGGGAGTCAAGGATGCGATGTATCACCATATATCAAGTGTAACGAAAATATGCACATGTAATATTGTGGTTGTGGATGCTGCAAAATAAAATTCAATTTCATTGAATATATGCAGACTGACATGTTTGTATTTGCTGCCTTGACAAAAGTGGGTGTCTTGCTACTTTCGAAAAATTTTCAATCAGCGACATCCTGTTTTATGCTATTGATACATTCTTTTTAGTGCTGGGTTCATATCACATAAAAATTACTTTTGTTTTTATTTTACCATAATACCATAGTAATTAAAAATAAAACTATTGATAGTCGCATGACAGTAATAATAAATGCAGATTGTTTTGCGATTGGTTATTTGGTGTGATACATAAAATTCAAATTAGTGTGTCATGTGACAGGGTCTTGGAATGTAGACTTGTCCCTTTTCATATGAATTGCAAAAACCTACCAATTCACCTATGAGTTTATCCATACATCAGTTTTTGTGTCTGTACCTACATATCAGGCATACATAATCTCGTCATGTTCAAACTTCACATGTATCTCGTATGTATGACTTGTGTTTGTTTTAAGGTACAATTCAATGTGGCTGCCGGTCGGGTCGGGTCGGGTCAGGTCAAGTCAATATGTTACTAATGTCAGTTTCATTTCTCTATTGCAGGCTGTTGAACATTGCAAAAATCATGTTTGGTAAACATTTTGTTTGCTATGCTAATTGGAATACTTAATGCAGCTGATTGTTTATTCAAGATATATGCAAGTAGTCTAGATAGAATCACTATTTGCTTTAACATTAAGATGAAAGTATTTCTTGTTCACATGTTGTTGATGTTATGTGTATAAATTTATTTTGTATTTTCTTGAAAAAAATCTATTGTAATTATTCAACATTCTTTTTCCTCAATTGAGACAGTTAATGTTTTTTTGTGAAACCTAAAATGATGTACAAGAAACACTTTATCATATCAATCTAAATGTTAATTATTAAACTAAAATGAAAATTTACTAAAAACATGGTTTTTATACACCTGTGAGAATAAATGTTGCCTAAATGGAACTTACTGACTGTCCTTAGCAATGCATAGTAACCACTGATAATAAATATAGGATAGGAATTCACTTTTATTATTTTTTTAATAAATTCATAGTGAATTCTTGAAGTTTTTTTGTGTGCTTTGAAAAAATTATTATGTTAGAAACACTAATATGTATTTTGGTTTGATGAATGACTTAAATCTGTGAGGGTGCACTTCCTACTGCTACACTTGGTAATGATATACCGGGTAATCATGTTGGTATGCATAGAATGGTGATGTAATCATGTTGGTACGCATAGAATGGTGATGTAATCATGTTGGTACACATAGAATGGTGATGTAATCGTGTTGGTACACATTGAATGGTGATGTAATCGTGTTGGTACACATAGAATGGTGATGTAATCGTGTTGGTACACATAGAATGGTGATGTAATTGTGTTGGTACACATAGAATGGTGATGTAATCGTGTTGGTACACATAGAATGGTGATGTAATCGTGTTGGTACACATAGAATGGTGATGTGATGCATAAAGAGATTAACACCTGATTATGCAAATATTAGATCTCGCAGTTATAAATTATATTTTGGACAATTTTCTTTTTTATCAGGGAACTAATTGTATAATGTTATATGGCTGTAATAGAATTATCTGAATAAAATGATGGAACATAAAAACTTTGGTGTGGTTTTAGAGCTCCTGAAAGATGCTTTTTGAAAATTCATCCTGTGTATTTTTTTTCATTGACATGTGCAGATGATTTGCTGGTTCACCAGTGTCACCAATATTGTACAAATAAAAATTTGTAAGTGCATTCTTAGACCAAGGAACAGGTTTTTATACCACTAATAGTAATTTCACCTTTCAAACTGAATCGTAACCAGTAAAGCAGATTGCTAGTTTTTAAATTACACAAATTAACTCTAAATTATTCTTTTGAAATACTCTTGCATATATTGTGCCTCCTTGCCATAAAAGCCAAAATACTGTCAAATTAAATATCAAAATGTTTAGTTGATTTATACACGTTTTGTCACTTGGACTTTCCCCTTTCTGCCACATAGGGCGTGAACACTATAAAATATTCACCAAATTAACTAATTGACCTACCAAACTAAAAATACTATCTATATATTGTATCATCAAAAAAATAAACTTAGTTTATTGGTATGTTTTTAACAGCAAACTCGTATTCCGTTCCAGCACATGAGGATGTAAGCACTATAAAATATTTGCCAAATTATTTTGTGGACGTACCATATAAAAGTCTATTTCAAAAACCTTTGTATTTACCCGTTATTTAGATTGTCTGTAATCTAGTCGCTCTGGACTGTTATTTTGTTAATCACTTGATTCAGTAGCCGCTGTGGTGACACTGTTTTTGATTTCTCAGACATTACAGTATCTTGTGCCGAGGGTCTTTTTCTTTATTGGTAATATTGACTATTTTTATACACACTTTTGGAAGAAGAAAAAATGTTCGATTTGTATTGAATGAAATTTCAAAACACTGTCCTGGCATTAATATTTGTATCAGTTTTAATAACTTTAAAACTACCCGGATGAAGTAATTCTACCAGCTATGGATGCATTTTTATTGTATTTTATCTGAGAACGTTTTAAATGGGAGTTTTCAAATGATTAAAAAAAATTAAGTATTATGTCGCAACTTGTTGCGAGAACTGACATTCACTTCGAAGAAGACAAAGTCCGAACAAAAACGTACCGGTAATTGATATCGGTACAGTATTCAGAATCATAACGGACATCACAGAGTGCGCCCAACAGTGGCTATTTTGTAATAAAACAAACGATATTTCAAACCTGTCTCTAGTGGGCAGTAGTTATGCGCAGTCACCTGCGCTACTGGATCATAACAAAGTAACATAGCAACGGGGTCAGTGAAAGACGTTGGACAGGTCTGTGAAGATTACTTGTAAATTTACTACGAAAACGAAACCGTTTAAAACAAAATGCCTGAAATTGAAACAGAGACGATAGTTATGGAGCATCCACAGATATTTGTGGAACGCACTTTGGCAGTAATCAAGCCTGACGCAGTCGATAAATCTGACGAAATTGAGGAGATCATCCTGCGGTCTGGATTTACTATTTTACAGGTGAGTAAAATCCTCGAGCAAAAGTCTTCCTGTGTCTCCCAATTCTCTCGTGTTACTTGTTTGTAATCTCAATTCTCGTTGAGTTAAACATAAAGTCTGGTGACCTCAAAAATGGCCGTATAATCTCTCCCCCTGACGTTAAAAAAGGTAGATGTAATCTAAAAACAACGAATATATATTGAACTGAACCAAACCTACCAGATTTTGAGTGATGATTCATTTTTGAAAGGAAAGAATTACATGTTGGCATGACCCCAAGTTTAACTACATGTATATCGTTTACACGACAGCATTTTATATTTCTGGGCCAAACAGCTCTGCTGGAGCAGAGTTCGGCTTCGATAAATATTGGTGTTGATCTCAGATAGGACTGGTCCCGACATGGCACTGACTGTTTAATTGCATTGAACCGAAATCACGCCCTCTATCACCTCCTTCAAATCATCTCAGGAGTTGATATCGTTTGCAGTTTCTGTGCGGAAACTAAATGAAGAAATTGCAGCCTTGATTGTGAAAATAAGTGTTATTTGATGTTGGCGATTGGCTCAAATCGTTTGCTGCATTTGTACTAGTCTTTCTCATACCTGTTTCTTAAAGAATGTACTGGTCTTGTAATGACAGAAAAACCAAGACTTGGGATGGTCACTTGGTGACATCAATAATTAGGTGTTTCTGTTTGGATTCAAAACAGATTCTCAAATATGCGAATATATATTAATTCTTAAGTGATTAAGGTAGCTGTTTCGTGCTGAACGAATCAGACCCCAACTGTATAACCACATAAGAGATAGCTCCGGTTCATCGATGGGAGGAGCAATAGTAAACCTATTAATAGGTTTGTTCAGCAATTTCTATAAATACTCCTAAATTGAGTCAATATTAATAAATACTAGAAAAATCTAAATAAATACTCTGGTATATGGAATTAAAAAAAACACAAAAATACTTTTATAAATTATTGTTAGATAATCATTGCCTTGAAAGCACCAAACTGTTCACACTTGCATGTTTGAAGTGCAGCGATATAGTAGTCCTTTCACCTGGTGTATAGATAAGGATCTCATATACATAAATAGAGCCTCTCACATTTCGTCACAAGATTATCTGTCTATTCAAAATATTTATTTCCTTCACTTAGTTTGTGCTATTTTTTCCATGATGAATTCGCTGTAGTTTTATTTCCTCTGTGTGTAATATTTTTTCCCGAAGAAATAGTAGTGCAAATTGTTTTTTCTATTATTGTTCCCTGCTGGTTTCTTTTTTTTTTCTGTGTAAATTTTTTTTTAATTTACCATTGCTCCCTCGGCTTGTTTCTAATGGCTACCCTAAAATTTACTTTTTCAGAAAAGGAGAGTGCATTTAACACCGGAACAGACAAGTGATTTTTATGCTGAACACTATGGCAAGATGTTTTTCCCAAGCCTTGTTGCATACATGAGCAGTGGACCCATTATGGCGTTAGTTTTAGCAAGAGAAAATGCAATAGCTTATTGGAGAGAGCTGGTGGGCCCAACCAACACATTGAAAGCGAGGGAAACACACCCAGACAGGTAAGCACATGCTACTTCATTGTATATGATAGCTGAGTACATACTCAGAGATCATATTCAAATCCAACAAAACTATTTTAAAGATTTTTGCAAACAACCAAAAATGGAAAATTAAAAATTTTTCGATGGTGTGTCCTTATTCATTGTCATTGTTTAAAGCTGCACATGCCCAGCCAGCATAATAAAACTAGAATTCATTCTTACAGTTTTAATTTGGATTAGATGCAAGACTGCAAAATATAATGCTTACAACATTACAGAACTCACCCCTATGGCACCCCCGTTTGAGGTTGTTCTTAAAATAGTTTTTCTTAAGTTCTTGGTAGTTTTCTTAATTGAGCCACTGTAATGCAAGTTCACGACAACATCCAGGTCGGCTGTGCCATGTATATCATACCTCCCTCCTGTTTATTTGTAATGTGCTTATTGGTGACCTAACTCTGACCCATGCCAAGCAAAATATAACACACATAATTGTTCGTTGTGTATGATTACATATATGGCGTTATTTAGATGGCTATTGTTACGATATTTCACACATAGTCGACTGCTTTCTTTTGCTAACAGTGCTGTCTCTCTGTATTTATGGTATATCAAGGTTCTGAAAAGGGCAGTTTTATTTGTGTATTCTTGATATAATATAGAGGGGATACTGTTCATAGATATGCCAGAATATGATACGAATAGCATCGTCTTTTGTTTGCCTAGCAGAATCATTCTTTTCAACTTTGCCTAGTTCTTTTCAATGCCTAAAACACTAGCTTAGTTAACTAGATTACTCTATAAATACCTGGATGATATGTATTCATATAGAAGTACATTGATGGTTGCACTGTTTCTAGATTGGTTAATTTGTTATTTAAGTAATTGTTCATGTTAAATATTTATTTCTATACTAATTCGAATAATGACCATTTTGGATGATTTACTAAAATATCAATAGAGTATATTTTAATCATGGTGTATAGATCATATTTAGGTTTCATACTGAAGCTGCCCTTTATGTTGTGAATATTAGTTCCATGCTTGGTTTGTATCCTCTACTGGATTCATTTTATGTTGTGAATATTAGTTCCATGCTTGGTTTGTATCCTCTACTGAATTCATTTTATGTTGTGAATATTAGTTCCATGCTTGGTTTGTATCCTCTACTGAATTCATTTTATGTTGTGAATATTAGTTCCATGCTTGGTTTGTATCCTCTACTGGATTCATTTTATGTTGTGAATATTAGTTCCATGCTTGGTTTGTATCCTCTACTGGATTCATTTTATGTTGTGAATATTAGTTCCATGCTTGGTTTGTATCCTCTACTGGATTCATTTTATGTTGTGAATATTAGTTCCATGCTTGGTTTGTATCCTCTACTGGATTCATTTTATGTTGTGAATATTAGTTCCATGCTTGGTTTGTATCCTCTACTGGATTCATTTTATGTTGTGAATATTAGTTCCATGCTTGGTTTGTATCCTCTACTGAATTCATTTTATGTTGTGAATATTAGTTCCATGCTTGGTTTGTATCCTCTACTGAATTCATTTTATGTTGTGAATATTAGTTCCATGCTTGGTTTGTATCCTCTACTGAATTCATTTTATTATTGTCAATGTCATACCCAATCAGTTTTCATGTTAGCAGTAAATAGTGAAAAAACTATAGCTATTTTTATTGAAAATATTGGTAAAAATGCTATTGAAAAATAACACTTCACATAAAAATGTATTTCGTTCTTGAGTGAGAATGTCCTAACTTGTAAGTTGTTTTTGTTTCAGCATTCGTGCGTTGTATGGTACAGACGACCAACGTAACGCTGTACATGGCAGTGACACGTTTTCAAGTGCAGAAAGAGAGATCCGATTTCTTTTCCCAGACAGTGAGTAATCAGTTCAGTTATTGTACTATCAAAGTAGATTCAAGGTGACGGTGAAGAGTTTTGTCACATCTCTCATATTGATGTGTCTTTCATTGTAGGTATCGTAGAGCCAATTCCAGCTGGCCAGGCAGCAAAAGATTACCTTTCAAAAGTTGTCAATCCAACATTATTAAAAGGACTTACAGAACTTTGTAAACAGAAACCAGAAGATCCCATAGTGAGTATATCTTGGTAGTTTTTACTTATTTGATAGATAACTTATATTGATGTGGTTGGATGTCTTTTTGCACTAGTCTAGATTTGATCATTAATTTTATCTTTATGTCTTTAATAATAGAAGTCAGTTTGTTATTTTTAACCATGGTAATTTAGATGCTGTAAACACGAGATAATCCATTGTGTGACTCAACCATAACAAATTGAGATTATAGTTTATTTAAAGCCCACATATATCAAATACTTGCTAAATCTATGAAGTTTGGTGACAAAATTGACTTATTTAACCTACACAAAATGAACTTCAATTTCAAAGATTAATTAATTCAAAATAAATAGTGTGAGAAATCAACACTAATAAAAAAACATACTTCTAATGTCACAGAAAATAAATCCCCCAAAATAAAACATTTTTAGCTCTGCTGTCAACTTTGTCGAGCTGATCTTATCATATGAGTGATTGTCCGCCGTCGTCCGTGTCAATGTTTTACTTTTTCGACTTCTTCTTGAAAACTACAAGCCTGAATGCTTTGATACTTGGTGTATATGTACCTTGGGTAGGCCTCTCTTAGATTTGTTCATTTCATGGTTATATCTTCAATTCTCTAATTTTGATGAAAAGTCATATTTTCGAATTCTTGTTAAAAACTGCAAGTCCGATTGCTTTGATATTACATTTGTACATATATAGGTACTACATGTGGACCTCTCTCAGATTTGTTCATTTTGTAATGATATCTTTAATTCTCTTATTTTGGTGAATATTCTTGTCATTTTTGGTAAAAAGTGATATTTTCAAGTCTGATTGCTTTGATACTACAAATATAGATACCTCAGGTAGACCTCTCTCAGATTTGTTCATTACGTGATGATATCTTCAATTATCTAATTTTGATGAATATTTTTGGTAAAAAGTTATAGTTTTTTGAATTCTTGTTGAGAACGGCAAGTCTGATTGCTTTGATACTATACATATTGTTCATTTTCTAATGATGTCTTCCGTTCTTTAATTGAAATGTGTATTGCTAACAGCGGAGCTATCTCAGCCGACAGACAAATAGACAGATAAAATTAGTTTCTTCAAATTACCATAATGCTCACCCTCAGCCTATATTCAAACCAGCTTTGCAATAAATTAGACTGTATTGCATCCTTAACTTTTTCACCAGCAGACTTTCTCGCCCAAATTTTCTGCACTTTTTACTTATTTTCTTCGATATTTCAGGAAATGAACCCTAATTTTAGAGCCAACAGACAAAATTTGAGTCAGTTTTCAGTTTTTACTCAAAAAATTTGGCTTTTTTTGTTCCAATCTTCTGAAAGAAAGTACAGACTATAAACGGGACTATTTTGTGATTTTGAGATGAAAAGAGGGAACTGGTTGGGTTATTTTTACGATTTTATGCCAGCTTGCGAAAAACATAATGTCACTTGGGAATTCTTATACAATATATAAAAAATACAACCAACTAGTGCATTTGAACAATATTTTTAGAACTGTGAATATTAGTGATAACAATTATAACTTTAATTTTCAGACATGGCTTGCTGATTGGCTGATTGGACATAACCCGAATAAGCCAAGGATTAATGAGCCTTATGCAGTGGAGGAACCAAACTAAAAACAAACATCTGCCGTCAATAAATCCTCACATCACAAAAACTCTCACTACCCGTATTTAACTCTTTCATCTCTGCAAATTTTAGTTTAGAGCAGATTCTTACAATTTTGTGCTCCTAGTGTTTAATAATTGATAAGAAATAAGGTATGTTTATAGAATACTTAGTTTTCATAATGCTGAAAGAGTTAAAATACTGGTCACATTAACACTGTACAGTGCCTTGTAGGTTTCAATATTTTTGTCTTTTTCATAAACTTTGGTTGAATTATAAAATATTTCCTGTATCTTATATTGTCACATCTTTATGTTTATAGGTGTGTTTTAAATTAACATTAATATTTTATGTAATTTTCCCATCACTATCATTCATGGTGTTCTAGTGTATATATGCTTCAAATTGAGTATTTGTAATAAATGTTCAATAATTGCAATTATAATATGTGTCAGTTGTACAATAATTTATCTAATGTCTGCTTTTATAACAGAAATCTTTACCCCTTTATCAACAAAGTCAATTTTTTCACAAAATAAAGCCCCATGTGTGCGTCCGTGCATCCGTGCGTCCGTGATCACCTGTATCTCGAACATGCATGGACCGATTAAGTTCAAACTTCACTCATACATCACACATTATATGGGACATATGCACATGCATTTTTTTCATGATCCGATTAACGATAGCCAAATAGCGGCCATTTTAAGACCGAAAAATCGCACATTTTCACCATTCCGGATCTCAGTTATGCATGGACGGATTTTGTTCAAATTTGGTACATACATTAAACATAATAGGACCTTGATGCACGTCATTTTTTTTTTTTTTGGATCGGGTTTGAAATTGCCGACTGGCAGCCATTTTGTTTTAAAGAATTCAGTTCTGGATCCGTATCCGAGACATGTCTGGATTGATCGAGTTCAAACTTCACACACACATGGTACATTTGTTTCATAATCCGCTTAACAATAGCTGAATGATGGCCATTTTAAGGCCGAAAATGCATCAAAATCACGTATTTTCACAATTCCGGAACCGGATCTCAGTCATGCATGGGTGGTGAAAGTGGTCTGAGATTTCGGTCATGATCTGCTTTGAATGTACATGTCACTCAAATATGAACGGAACGGGGACATGTCATTGACAATGACTTGTCTATATTATTTTTTTTAAATTGTTTATCAAACCCTGTAGCAAATGGGAAATATATTTGATCCAACTGTTTCCTATTGTCTACCAAGGTTCCGATCAGTTTTTGAGAAAAAAAATATAGAAAAATCTTGTCAACAAACAAAAAATGTCATCTTACCAAGACTGCATGTGATCTGACTCTTGCGGGCACTCTCTTGAGAATGCTGGTTGACAAGAAGCGGTTGTTCACGCCCAAAGTTAAAATAATGGCTTCGTTTACTGCTGTTGTATACATGTATCTGTTCCCTTTAATATCACATTATGTGGGTAACATAGGTCACGACAGTTCGTGATCAGTGAGCAACATTGTGGGTAACATAGGTCACGACAGTTCATGATCAGTGAGCAACATTGTGGGTAACATAGGTCACGACAGTTCGTGATCAGTGAGCAACATTGTGGGTAACATAGGTCACGACAGTTCATGATCAGTGAGCAACATTGTGGGTAACATAGGTCACGACAGTTCATGATCAGTGAGCAACATTGTGGGTAACATAGGTCACGACAGTTCGTGATCAGTGAGCAACATTGTGAGTAACATAGGTCACGACAGTTTGTGATCAGTGAGCAACATTGTGGGTAACATAGGTCACAACAGTTCGTGATCAGTGAGCAACATTGTGGGTAACATAGGTCACGACAGTTCGTGATCAGTGAGCAACATTTGTTATAAAATAGTCACATATTGGTTGGCATAAATGTAAACATATGATGTCACAGTACAATGGCAACAAAAAATAGTGA